TAGTTAGGCAAGAACGTCCGCTTGTGAAGCCATGCTGGGAATCATTGATCAATCGGTGCTTCTCCAGGTGATTTCGAATAGAGTTTGAAATGATTGCTTCCAGTAATTTGCCTACTATTGATGTTAGACTGATTGGGCGGTAGTTAGAGGATAATGATCTATCCCCCTTCTTGAAAATCGGTATTACATTCGCTATCATCCAGGATTCTGGTACTACACCTGTTTTTAAGGACATGTTAAACAAATTTGCTAAGGGCATACTAAGCTCTTCCTTACATTCCTTTAATACTCTGGCAAATATCTCATCGGGACCAGGTGACTTATTAGGCTTTAGTTTGTTTATTTGCTTACTAACATCGTTACTAGTCACTACTATCTCACTTAATTTGATTTCTTCACTATCTCTGAATAGAGTCGGTGCCTCGGGTATCATGTTTAAATTTTCGGTGATGAAAACTGTTGAAAAATATTTATTCAAATTATTGCTCATTTCTCCGTCGTTATCAGTGAGCTCGCCTGAGTCTGACCGTATTGGTCCAATCTTTTCTCGTGTTTTAGTTTGATACATTTGGTAGAATCCTTTGGGGTTTGTCTCTGCCTCCCTTGCTATCCTTACCTCATTATTCCTCTTTGCTTTCCTTATCCCGGAGGTGAATTTCGCCACGATTTATCCTTCTACCTATAGCCTTCCTTTGGCCAATGATGTTCTTTAAATAATTATTTATCCATTTAGGGTCATTGTTGTCTGATCTGAGTTTTTTGTATGGTATGTTCTGCCTTTGTGCATAAAGTAACTCACTATTTAAATTGTCGTGGAACTCGGCAATCTCAGATATCGTTATCAGGTCGGTGTCATCTGTCAGGTTCACGGCCAAGCGCGACACCCCCTCTCTCAGCTGCCTCTTTAAACTGTCAAAGTTTGCCCTTCTGAAATCTGGTACGTTAGTGGAATTTTCCTTACGTCTGCCCTGAAAATCTAACTGGAATCGAATTTCTTTGTGATCGCTGTTTGCAAGTTCGTTCCCTACCTCGACATTGCTAATGAGGTTTTCTCTGTTCGACAGAACTAAATCCAGTATATTATTACCCCTTGTGGGTTCGGTTATATGTTGACTTAGGAAACAGTCCTGGATCGTCTTGAGAAAATCCTCTGATTCTGAGTTACCCGTAAGGTCAGTCCAATCTATTTGGCCAAGGTTAAAGTCGCCTACTATACAGACTTTGTTGTGTATGGAAGCCCTGCGCATTTCATCCCAGATAAGTCGCTCATTGACGCTATCAAGATTGGGGGGTCTATATATTACTCCTGTGATTAATTTTTCCCAACCGTCGCTTAATTCTATCCAAATTGTTTCTGTATTCCTCTCAGTTTTTATTTCCTTATCTATTTCACACTTCAGATTATCCCTAACATAGATTGCTACTCCACCTCCTTTCCTGGTCTGCCTATCCGTATGGAACAGTTTGTAACCCGCAATTTGGTATTCGACTGGTAATTCACGTGTGTCTAGGTTGATCCATGTTTCAGTGAATGCAATTATATCGATTTTTTCGGTACATACCAAGGCCCTAATATCATCCATTTTGTTTCTCATACTTCTACTGTTCGCGTAGTATACATTTAAGTTAGTCGTGTTCTGAGTCCTCCCCTTACCGCGTTTAGTTTTAAACTCCCTGTCTAATTTAGTTTTGTCATCATTCCTAACACTATTTCCCTGTAATCTTTCGCCTTGTTTACCCGCTCCCACTGCAGTCTCCTCCACCCCCGTGCCCATATGTTCTCTTAGCAGTTTAAAGACTTCGATATCTTTTGAACTGCCCCCTCTAGAGCCCCAGCCAGGGTTGCTACTCCATCCCTAGACAGGTGCACCCCATCCCTAGCATAAAGGTCCCTTCTGCCATAGAAGTTGTCCCAGTTGTCAATGAATGGGACTGATATTGACTTGCAATATCTGTCAAGACGGTCGTTGACACCAACTGCCCTTGACAACCATTCACTGCCAACTCTCCTTCTAGGCAGGACACAGCATATGATAGGGATCCCTCCCTTAGTCCTAATACGATCTATGGCTGCCTTGAACTTATCAAGAAGTTCCTCGCTCCTACACCGGCCAATATCATTGCCTCCTGCACTGAGGCAGATAATGGGTTTGTTCCCATTACCAGACAAGATATTGTCCATCCTGTCAATTATATCCCCCACCCCAGCTCCTGGCAAACACACCCTCATCCTATTTTTGTTTTTACCACAAAAGGCCCTGTCCAAGTACCTTACCTGTGAGTCACCAACAATTAAAGTTTTTATACCTTCCTTGTCATCCCTGTCCCTGACTGTACTAACGTCCAATTCGTCTATCAAGGGACTGAACGGGTTGGTACACTTAGCTGTTGTTGTCGTTGTTGTCGTATCCTTGGTGTGCTTCTTCACCACCAGCTTTGTCTTCCCACTACTCACAACTTTCCACTCGCTTGAGTTTTCGTCAGACACTGGCTTTACTCGTCCAGCCTCTCCTTTTAACTTCGCCAGCTCTTTCCTTAATTTCAGGTTCTCCAACGTGGCCCTCGCCAATTCTTCAATGGACCACTCCAGTTTGGTCAACAAACTCTCATACCCAAGACCGCACATAGCACTGGCCATATCTGATAATTATCCCTCCGGAGCTAACCCTGCCGTGACCTTTCCCCTAGTGAATCCGTAAATGTATCCGACAATTTATCTATAAAAAAACACACACTTTGTACACCACACACGGATCACTGCCAGAAAGACACGAGGAGATAGAGCCGTATGAGGGACCCTATATATAAGTCAGACTCCTTAACACATACTTATATCATCATGGCCGCTGCTTCTTGTAATCAATAATGCTCCACAAAGTCTTCATGTCTAGCAGTAATGAGGCCCTTCAGACGTCGTATCTCTCTAGGTCTTCAAAGATGGTGGTTCTATAGGGAAGGGACGGGATGGGATGGTCAGCTTAGTTAAAAAACAATTCAGTTTATTTTCACCTCAGTTGATCTGTGTAGGTTGTCGTGAGGTTGAACATACGTGTCTCTAGCAATGAACAGGCTTATGAACGCTGCACTGTTGATCGCTGGCTTATGAACGCTGTTACTTCTAGACGCTTCTTTCTTTCTCTACTGCTGTTGTTGATGTTTTGTTTTTTTTGTTTTTTTTACCGTCGATGGTTTAATAAAAATCATTAATTACTCAGACTTATTTAAACCAAAGTTGTCTGTCATCTGTATCAAGCCCCACACGTTTACTCACCAGCTCCCTCACACCTCTGTCTACACTAAACAAACTTGTGGCGTTTTTGACTGTGAGGAAACAAATAGATTGACTATTAACCTCTTGTAGCCTCCCTCTGTGTGTGTGTGTGTGTGTGTGTGTGTGTGTGTGTGTGTGTGTGTGTGTGCAGAGGTCTATGTCTATCTGTCCTATCTGTGTCTTGTGTATTTGTGTGTCCATCCAGTAACACTTTTCTCACCCCTTTTCCCCACGACCACTAAATTTATAAGACCTCTGCACCTGTGTCTGGCTATTAAGTTATTAATATAATTGCCTTTTAAAAGATATTAGAGAGTCGTGTCCCCTTTATCTCCATCTTAATAATACCTGGATTATGTGGACGACTTTCCCGGGTCATAACGTGAGCAGGAAGGAGGACATGCATGGGGGCTGGTTCAGATCTGGTGTCTTGCTCTTACCTGCCTGAGAAGTTCCGTTTTGCTGTTGTTGTGGTGGTCTGTTGGTGTCTCCGGGGAGTGGTTTAGCGTTGACTGGGAGTGGTTTAGCGTTGACTGGGAGTGGTTTAACGTTGACTGGGAGTGTGAAGCGTTGAATTGGAGAGTGAGCGACACACGTCATTGTCACCATTCCTTTCATCAAGCACACACATGGCTACATTCCATGCATGTCTTGCTTCACGCCTCAGTACCATCACTATCAAACCCTATCATCACTATCAATGACAATATATCACTATCATCACCATCAAATACTTAACTACTCACCTTCCTCCTCATGTATAAAGAAATAAGTCACTTTCCTGCACTCCATCACACTCATTATGTACAAAATATAATGAAATGTAACACTTTATTCACGTCTCCACACACCTGTTATTCAGATATTCCACCTATATCATGTTCACCTGTAATATTTATCGACATAATATTCCCCTCTTCTCTGAGATATTAACTCAGTATTACCTTTACCAGCAAGATAGTCTCCCTGTTTTGTCGTCGTTATGCAATTAGGAAAATTTTCTTTCTTTGTCTACCAGTCAAGGATATCATATTCTCCCTGCGTTGTGTTCCTCTCTTAAAGTATTCTCCCTCTGTCATAATCTCCCTCACTTAACTCTTTGAGGACGATGGTTTAAGGTATAATCCTCAAGGGGTTAGATCAGGGGCGTCCAAGTTTTTTTTTCAGTAGTGGGTCACATGATCAGTAATCCAAATGGGTGCCAACACCTACGGCCCACGCAATACACTACGAAACAATTATTTACATTAAGGTTCACGATCAAGCCCGCGAGTACGACACTTAGCGGCAGTAAGTTACACAGCGGTAGCGGCAGGTAGGTGGTTACCGATTGGCCGTTAGGCGTTACGCCGTTACGGTTAGGGTGTGGCGTTACTGGCATACTTGTTGATGTATGCTAATAAGGTGGAAATATTTTTCTAAAAATCTCAGGTGCGCCAGACCCCCCCTTCACTCTTTTACTTGGCGGTGAATATATATCCCTGTAGCGCCATTAACTAATCACCCCTCCAACACCACTAATCACTCCCAACATCACTAATCACCCCCAACACCCCTAATCACCCCAAACACCCCTAATCACCCCGAAAACCACTAATCTGTCCCCAACACCACTAATCACCCCAACACCACTAATCACCCCAACACCACTAATCACCCCAACACCACTAATCACCCCCAACACCACTAATCACCCCCAACACCACTAACCAGGTGTGTTCTCCGACAGGTGTTCAGCGGGGAAGGGAAGCGCTACGTGAGCACGGTGGACCCTCGACGCAGCAACTGGACGCGCTACCTGAGACCGGCACCAGACAGAGACTCAGCCAACCTGGTGGTCGTCCTCAGACCCATCCTCGACCCCGGTAAGTGTCTGTATAGTAGGTAAAGAATACTTAGAGAGTGTTTATCAGGTGTAGATTACCCTCACGAGACGTTCTGGAGACGATGTTGCCTTAAACTATAGGTGGAGGAGGTGAAGTGATCATCCAGGGTGTGGTGGTCATGTTAACTCGCCGGTTGCAATCGGTTTGTTACCCGGATGGCTTGAGCCAGGTAACCAAAAGACCAGTTAAAGCCGAGTATTTCATGAGCTTAGACAGTCATGAGTTAATAAACCTTGAAACCGTCTGAGGTCTACCTTGAGGTGATCTTTTTGACTGTCTGTTCCCGCCTTAAGTCTATCCTCGATCACACAAACTGTCTCTGCGTGAACCCAACCCTCTGATACAGCCTCATTTCATTTCCCTTTCTGGGATAAAAATTCGCTGTGGTTTGAAATTTTGTTGTTGGGAGTGACATGGTTTGGTGAATGTGAGAGCCTCATCCTTCCAGCCCGCCTCGCTTTTGTCAGTAAACTAATTTGTGTTAGTTTTATGGTATCCTCTCTCTCTCTCTCTCTCTCTCTCTCTCTCTCTCTCTCTCTCTCTCTCTCTCTCTCTCTCTCTCTCTCTCTCTCTCTCTCTGCCAACGTATTTATTTTGGTAAGGACAGCAGAGACAGAGCCGTCCTACCTTACACACCCCACCCAGTGAGTGACTGCCTCTGCCACATTCAACCTCTTTTTCCCGTCTCTTCACATTCATCTCCTTGTTGAAGCGTCGTAAGGCATCAACATTATATTTTCTTGGTTATGTGTCCTTCTGGTGTCTCCCTTCATCATTTGATCCATTTTATATCCTTGTCTTATTCCAACCATCATATCCGTTTCCCAATCCCATTCCCGTTACTGATATTATTCTTGTTTTAATCTCATTCCCGATCTAAGCTTGATTCCTATTCCTAGCTGTAGTTTTTCGCTCCCAGTTTCATTTCTATTCCAAACTTTCATTCTCGTATTCCAGCCTCATTCCAGTTTCCAGTCTTGTTCCAGTTGTTCATTTGAGCCTCATTCCCGTTCCAAGACTCATTCCTAGTCCTGGTTCCATTCCCATTCCCATTCCCAGTCTCATTCCCATCTCGTTAGCGGTGGTTCGCGTCGACCCTCCACCACAACAGAACAAAGAACAGGGACACAGAAGCGCCCCTCCCTCCTCTTCCATAATCTTTCCTCTTCGTTACGTCGAGAAAAATTCTCCCTTCACAGTACTTTTCCACTCACAAAACCTCCTGTCCCTTCCCTTCACTACAACCTCTCTCCTTCCCACTCTCTCTCTCCTCCACCACAACCTCTCTCCTCCCACCACAACCTCTCTCCTACAACCTCTCTCCTTCCCTACAACCTCTCCCTCCCCTCTCCTTCCACAACCTCTCCCTCCTTCTCCTTCCTCAACCTCTTCTCCCTACCTCTACAACCTCTCCCTCCACCTCCAACCTCCTTCCTCCTCCTACAACCTCCTTCCCACAACCTCTCTCCTCCCTCTTCACTACAACCTCTCCTTCCCTACAACCTCTCTCTCACCTCTCTCCTCACTACAACCTCTCTCCCTCCTCTCACTCCTCTCCTTCCTACAACTCTCCTCCACAACCTCTCCTCCTGCCTATCTCTCCCTCCCACCTCTCCTTCCACCACAACCTCTCTCCACCCCTCTCTCCCCTCCCCTACAACCTCTCCCTTCCCACCACAACCTCTCCCTCCTACAACCTCTCTCCCTCCCTCCTCCCTCCTACAACCTCTCTCCCTTCCTAGCCTCTCTCCTTCCCACTACAACCTCTCTCCTTCCCACCTCTCCTCCTCCTCCTCCTCTCCTCCACACAACCTCTCTCTCTTGTCTCCCTCCATCCCTCTCCTGCCTCTCCTCCTGCAACCTCCCCCTCCACTACCTCTCTCCCTACAACCTCTCTCCTCCCCCGACCTCTTCCCTCCCCCCAGCTCTCTCCCTCCCCGCCTCCTCTCCTCCACTACAACCTCTCTTCTCCCCACAACCTCTCCTCCCTCCCCACAACCTCTCTCCCTCCTACCTCTCCTCTCCCCAACCTCTCTCCCTTCCCCCCAGCCTCTCCTCCCCTTCTCTCCTCCCCCAGCCTCTCTCCCTCCCTCCCCAACATCTCCTCCTTCTCCTCCCCACAACCTCTCTCCTCCCACTACAACCTCTCTCCCACACAACCTCCTCTCCTCCCTTCCTCTCCCTTGACTCTCTCCTCCACCTCACTTCTCTTCCCTCCACCCCCAACCTCTCTCCCCCAACCTCTCCCTCCCCCCAGCCTCTCTCCCTCCTAAGCCTCTCTCCCCCCAACCTCCTCCTCCCCCACCCTCTCCTCCCCACGCTCTCCACCACAACCTCTCTCCCTCCACTACAACCTCTCCTCCACCCAGCCTCCCCTCCTGCCTCCTCCTCCCCAACCTCTCTCCCTCCCTCCAGCCTCTCTCCCTCCCCCAACCTCTCTCTCTCCCCACAACCTCTCTCCCTCCACTACAATCTCTCCCTCCACCACAACCTCTCTCCCTCCACAACCTCTCTCCCTCCACCCTCTCTCCTCCCCCGCTCTCTCCTCCCACCACAACCTCTCTCCCTCCCACCCAACCTCCCCTCCCCCACCTCTCCCCAACCTCTCTCCTCCCACCTCTCTCCCTCCCACCACAACCTCTCTCCCTCACCACAACCTCTCCTCCCTCCCACAACCTCTCTCCCCACCCCCAGCCTCTCCCTCCCACCACAGCCTCCCCTCTCCTCCCCCCAGCCTCTCCCCTCCACTTTCTCTCCCTCCACCACCTCTCCTCCCCACAGCCTCTCCTCTGCCTCTCCCACTCCTGCCTCCCCCCACAACCTCTCCTCCCACCACAACCTCTCTCCCTCCCCACAACCTCTCTCCCTCCACCACAACCTCTCCCTCCACCTCCCCTGGCCTCTCTCCCTCCCACCTGCCTCTCCTTCACCCCCTCTCCCTCCCCCACCTCCTCCCTCCTCTCTCCCTCCCACAACCTCTCTCCCCTCCCCCAACCTCTCTCCCTCCCACCCCACCTCTCTCCCTCCACCCTTCCTCCCAGCCTCTCTCCCCCCAACCTCTCTCCCTCCACAACCTCTCTCCCTCCACCACAACCTCTCTCCTCCCCCTCTCTCCCTCCCCCCCCAGCCTCTCTCCTCACCTTTCTCCTCCCTCCACCTCTCCCTCCCCAACCTCTCTCCCTCCCACCCACAACCTCTCTCCCTCCCTGCCTCTCCCTCCACAACCTCTCTCCCTCCCCCCCCAGCCTCTCTCCTCCACCCCTCCTCCACCTCGCCTCTCCTCCACCACCAACCTCTCTCCCTCCACCACAACCTCTCCCTCCCCTGACTCTCTCCTCTCCTCTCTCCCTCCCCCAGCCTCTCTCTCCTCCCTAACCTCTCCCCCACCCAACCTCTCTCCCCTCCCCCCCAGCCTCTCCCTCCCCACAACCTCTCTCCCTCCCCCAACCTCTCTCCCTCCACCTCCTCCCTCCCCCTTCTCCCTCCACCACAACCTCTCTCCTCCCCCCAACCTCTCTCCCTCCCCACAACCTCTCTCCTCCCCCACACTCTCTCTCTCTCCTCTCCCTCCCCAACCTCTCTCCCTCCCCAACCTCTCCCTCCCATCCCCAGGTGGCTCCTTGCTTTCTTGTCCTGCTCTGATCAACTCCTCCTTTTCCTCCCTCTCTTCCTTCACCCCTCCCACATTTCCCTCCCTCCCTCTTCTCCCACCCCCCTCCTTCTTCCCCATCTCCATCTCTTCCCTTTCCTCCTTTGCCACCCTCCTTCCACCTCTACTCCTCTTCCTCTTTCTTTTGTATTCTATTATGATCTATTCCTCCTCTTTCTCCTCCTCTCTCTCTCCATCCTCCTCCCTGCAACATTTCCCATTTCCCTCCCTTCCCCCCTTCTTCCTTCGTCCATCTCTCCTTCTCCTCCTCACTACACAGTCCCCCCCTCCCTCCTTCCTTTCATGAAATTCTAATTAACACACCTCTCCTCCCTCCATCCCTCCCTCCATCTTTTACTTACCCACTAACCTTCCCTTCCCTCCTTTATCCACTGACCCTACCTGCCCTCCTCCCTCTCTCCCTCCTTCCTTTATTTCCCTCCTTCCCTCCCTCCTACCCTCCCTCCATTTTTAACAGAGCTTACCTTAGATGCGACGCTCAACCCTAACTTCCACCCCCACCACCCCCCCACCACCACCCCCACCACCACCACCACCACCACCACCACCCCACCACCACCACACCCCACCACCACCCACCACCACCACCCCCACCCACCACCACCACCCCCACCCCACCCACCACCACCCCACCACACCCCCTCCCCCCTGCCCTCCCCACCCCCCTGCCTCCTCCACCACCACCCCACCCCCACCACCATCCTTCCCCACCACCATCCTGCCCCCACCACCACCCCACCCCACCACCCACCCCACCACCACCACCCACCACCACCACCCCCCCACCACCCCACACCCACCACCCACACCCCACCACCACACCCACCACCCCACCCCACCACCCACCACCCCCACCACCACCACCACCACCACCCCCACCACCACCACCCCCCACCCCACCACCACCACCACCACCCACCACCACCACCACCACACCCCCCACCACCACCACCACCCCACCACCACCACCACCACCACCCCACCACCACCACCACCACCCCACCACCACCACCACCACATATGTTGTTCATGCCCGAATTGTTGTTCTGTAATTTTTGTGTTCGCTTGAGTTGATGTGTTTAGCTTCAGTAATTCGTATTTTAGTAAATAAAAATAAGTTTTTGGTTGTGATTATACTTCTGATTAATTTTGTTGTCCATACTCTTTAAAAAAATCCCAGTGAGTTAATTTGTTATTGATGTTGAATTTTGTCGCTGTGATGTTTTTATTGTTTATTTATTTACTTTGATTAGTTGATTAGCTGTTTAGGCTTCCTTTTAACGTATTCATATTGGGGAGTTAATTAGTTGATTTACTCACCTGGATGAGTTAATTAGCTGTTAAGGCATCCTGTTTACCTAGTCATCTTATTTACTGAATTAGTTGGGTTTGTTGTACACGAGTTAATCAGTTTAATCATTCCTCACAGTGAGTTAGTTTTTAAGACACCATAATGAATTAGTTGACTAATTCATCCCAGTGAATTAGTTGTAAAGGTCATTATTAAACTATTAACTACTCCATATAATTATGTGATTAGTTTTGACTATGATGGGCAGCTCATTCATGTGTTAGCTGTAGTTCAGGGGTGTCAAACTCATTTGCCAAGGCGGGCCAGATTTAGTATGAGTACACAGTGTGCGGGCCAAGTAACATAATTATGAGCACTTCGCCATCACCTCTTAGGTGAGTAGTACGACAAAATAAGAAAGGTGGACTTAGTCTGCCCTCGTGCGAAAGCCTTACAAACAAACAAATCAAGTGTTTACTTACCTTGATCAATCTTATTGTTTGTTACTGCTGCTTCCTGGCGCCTCTTGGTATGGACCAGTGCATCAATGTTTGGCACTAACGACTGAGCTGTAGCAACCTTCAGTATTGAATTAAGGTGCGCATCAGTAAGTTGAGACCGAAGCCGAGACTTGTTCAAGTTCATCACAGAAAAGAGTTGTTCACAGACATATGTACTTCCGAACATTGACATAATCTTTGAGGCAAAACATTTAATCCTGGGATAATTTGGTCCAAAATATTGATAAAATGTGCCACCATCAACACTCGAAAACTTGTTCCTCAACACAGAATCACACTGAAGCTCAATTAATTCTAACTGAAGATGTTCTGGTACCTCATTAACACCAACAGAGAATGGGTCCCGAAAAATGAAAAAATCCTTCTCAAGTCTTTTTAAGTCGGCAAATCTTTCTTGGAACTCATTCATTAATTTGTAAATCTTGATGCAGTACTTTTTTGTGTTGATATCAGCATGAAACTCGAGTGTGCCTTGCAGGGACTTCAAGGTCGGAAAGTGAGAAAGATTACTCTCTGATAGTTGCCGTTCAAAAAGCTGAAGTTGATTGAGTATTTTGTTCTCGGAAACAGCAGACTATTTTATTCAGCTGAGGGATACACTCACTATTTAGTTTAAGCTCCTCAAGGTAAGGCTGGAGCAGCAAATGGGCCGCGGGCCGCATGTAAGAGTGTGTCGGGCCGCATGTAAGAGTGTGTTGGGCCGCATGTAAGAGTGTGTTGGGCCGCATGTAAGAGTGTGTTGGGCCGCATGTTTGACGCTTTGCTGTAGTTTGTTGTCCAGACTGTGGTTGGGTTGTGGGTTATCTGGTAAGGATTTGTTGTGTTCTGGTTGAGTAGGAATTATCTATCTGAATACTTGTTATATCTTTAGTTGACTGTCAATTGTTTAAACTGAAATTTGTTGTTATTTTGAGTAACTTGGTTATTTCCACTTAAATTTTTTGTTTGTCAATGTTGATTATTTTAACTGTGAAATTTGTTGTGGTTGTGAGTAGTTATTGATTAGTTTAGTTTAATTTGTTGTGATTGTCGTCCAGCTCATCAGTGAGTTATTACAACCCACGATTTAACACAGTACACGCTGATTGGCTCCGTGTCCACCGTTGAAGTTTAGTTAGGTTAGGTTTAGAGTAAGTTAAGTTAGGTTAGACCATGTTTTAATTTTGATTCGCTTTGGTTTAAATTAGGTTAGGTTAAGTTAGCATAGCTTAGGTAAGGTTAGGTTAAGTTAGTTTAGGTTAAGTTAGGTTAGGTTTGAGTTAGGATGATGTTAGTTTTTTTTTAATTAGGTTACGTTAGATTGAGCTACGTTAGTTTAAATTTACATTAGTTAAGTTTGGGTTAGGTTAAATTGAGCTAAGTTACGATAATTTAGGCATTGACTACATTAGGTTGAAACAGATCTCACCAAACCTGAGCGTCACAAAGGGAGGAGCTCTTACTATCGTTATGGTGGACGAGGACCAATCAACACACACTATGCCCGTATATGCGTGGAATCTATAGTAAATCGTCTCTGGCCTACCCTCACCAGGCCTTATGAACGGGTATTTGATAGGGACAATCAAAAGTCCATCGCAAGGGGGGAGGTGTTGATGAAGACACGTGCTGCGTCTTTTGGGTGTAACCGACCTGTAGGGTGGTGGTGGCGGGCAGACTGGACCAGCTGTGTTGAGCCCTGCCAGATGACGTGACCAACTCCAGCTTGTTAGTTTCCTTTCTTCCCTGAGCCGAATATCATATACCAATATATATACTAATCTAGAGTGCGCGCTTTACTATAGACCTTAGATGTTGATGCGCAGTAATACGTCAAAACATCATCTCCTGTCGTGTAAAGGGGGAGATCGTAGTATCGTAGCCTGACCCAGTAATTGTTTATCGCCTGTGTTTTGTCTTCTTTAACATGATGTTAGAACCAATCAACTAACCAAACCAAACCTAATCTATCTAACCTTATCAATATGAACTTAAAGATATTCTCTGATTGTTAGATTAAAAGTTAAACTATTTAAAGTTGCAATCTGCCAATCGCTCGTTACACTGCACCGTACTGTTCGTGGTAAGATTTTGTTTACCTCATATTTAACTGAAAAAGCATTAACCGAATATTGAAACACTGAAATAAAATTATAAAAACTGTTAATTATTAAATATTAAACAAAATGGTAATCACTGGCAACTTGACCTAAACAACAGTTCACTTGTAGACCTCCGTGGCGGCTGATTGACGTAGTTTATATGATTAAGAAAACAACGAAAAAATAACAAATCAATGCGTGGAGGGCAGATCCAGAGGTGGATATGGATTATTCTTGAGGTTAGGAACAACTTCTCTCCTATACAAAAAGTCTCAAGAATAATTATTTGAGGAGTAATGGGGCGATGAAGTATTATAATCCACTAAGCCTGACGAAGGTTGTGCTCATGGCAATTTAGTTATACATTTTTACTTTTCATTTGTTATTTCCAGACTTTGCTTCGTTGTTTTCATTGTTAATATGCCCAGCCTTATTATTTTCACAATATTTTATTTTTACTCCTGTGTTCAGCTTTCAGTCTATATTATTTTCCAAGTTATGTTCAATATTGAAAATTTCAATGTTGATATTTTCACCCTCCTTATGTTGTCCTGCCCGTTGTTGAAGAAGTTAGAAGGACCAGCAACCTCACCGTATTTATTATTAGATGAGTTTTAGTTAATAGCAAGACAACCAAATAATGAGGTCAACGCTGTTAAGAGTTACGACCAACAGATGGCAGCACGAATCTCACACGTTCCTTATTCCATATTACTGTATACTGTTGTTGTAGCACATGACCGTGTAGGTAGAGCGTGTAGGTAACACTAGTAGAATCCACACTATAGAGAATAAGAGACAGAGTTTATCCAGTGGAGAGAGATAGATCTCTTCGACCTGACTCGGCGGTGGAGTTTCAAGGCAGAGTATCGGGTCTCCATAATCTTGCGCTAAAAGCTAAGCTCCGTCGTCGCCGAGGTTGTTGGCGGAAGTCCTACACCCCCCTCCCCCCTCCCCAAAGTTGTGGTAGTCGGTATTAACAAGGGAAAACTTAGGAGCAACTCGCACACGCCCGGTTTCCCTTGTATGAGCGATGTATGTGTGTATATAAAACAGTTAACGGAGATTGTGTTGCTGAAGTTAGAACGTCATTTGGTGACACAAAGGATCTTGGAGCCTCTGTTTGACGCGGTTTCATCTTGACGTGGGTGGACTTTGAGGAGGGTGGGGTTTTAATTTGAGATGAGGTTTATTTTAGTGGGTTGTAAATTGAGAAAGTTTTAAATGGAGGTACTTAAGGAGGGTTGTAACTTGAAGGGGCTGTAACTTGAGGGATATATAACTTAGGGTTCAACTTGAGTGGCTGTACCTTGCTATGCCTTTTATTAACTTGTACATGTGTAAATATCTCGTGTGTTTGGGATCACCTGAAGATTAGACACCCTAACTATTTCACCTGAAGATTAACAACTCCAACGCTACCTGGAGGAGTTAAGTTAGGAGAATTAATCTTTAAGTGAAACAAACAGGGGTGTCTTATCCTCAGGTGATCTTGTGTTTGTGTTGGTGTCAGGCGGTTCTTGACCACCTCTCTGTCTAAGCCTGATTGATTTTATCCCATGTTGCGTGTCAGTTGTCAAATATTAATATCACCTGTGGATAAAAAACTACTTTATAATCACAGGTGAGAACAGAGAGGCACGGGGTAAAGAGAATTTATTAGTTAGTGTCCCAATAATTACAACAACACCAATTTGATCAGGATTCTTTTGTCCGTATTCTAATAATTTTTGTTTATTTCTCTCTCCTTCCATGACGCAGGCGATGACACCTCTGGCATGGTTGTGATGGGCGGCGTGGGCGGCGTGGGCGGTATTGGCGTGTTCCTCATCACCACCCAGGACGTAAGCGTGGGTCAGGAACTGATGTTCTGGGCCCACGACCCTACCCTCGCCTGGTCCCGCAAGAAGATGGAGAAAACCAGTAAGTGTTGATGATGAAGTTGGCGTTGAGTGGAACGATGATTGTGCCACTCACTGTTGGTGAATCCCAGTGTTAGTGATAATTTGTTTTGGTGATACCCATAGTTGGTGGAACCCGACGCTTATGTCACTAACCCTGTGCTGGTGATGAAGGCTGGTGGTGAAGGCTGGTGATGAAGGCTGGTGATGAAGGCTGGTGGTGACGTTCATACATGTTGGTGAACCGCGTGAGTGTGGAGGGGTGGGGGGGGGGTCAATACGTTTGCGTTAGTCACTGTTTGTGTGTGTTTGCCTTTGTATGTGTAGAGTAAATTGAAAAGAGTGACTAGCCAGACGTGATCACATAATATCATAACATGTGTACCAGCAAACCTGCACATAACTACATATAAAGCACACACGGGTGAGCACCTGTGTACATACGTGTGCATATTACAACTGCTTGCTGGTAGTCTCCATGGAGTCGGCACCTCACTCCGTTGCTTTTAACAAATTAAAAAGCCATGATATTACCAGCAGTGTAGTGTGGCCTTGGGGACTCCAGAGTTGCAAATGACGTTTTAATGTTTTGAAGAATGATCGCCCGGCGTCTAGCAGCAACACTCTCCGTTATTGGAACCTCAGCGGCGGGTGGTATGGCGAGCCTCTTATCCCTCACGATGAGACGACAGTCTGAAAAAAATCTTTTGTTGACAGTTTTGGAGAATCTATTTAGTTTGTTTTTGTTATCTTATTTTCTGTTATTGTTTTATGCACTATATTTTTTCGTCTTTCTGGCACCACTCTTATTGAACTTTACACACACACATACACGCACACACACACACACACACACACACACACACACACACACACACAAAGATAGCTTCATCACTATTCACAACACCTGCATACACAACAACATCAACCATACACAGGATCTGTATAAGTATCAAGCAAACTCTAACTCGAGGCATAACAGGATATTAGAAAGGTACTGGAGAGAAGTGGGGAGTGAGGAGGAGTAATGGAGAGAAGTGGGGAGGAGGAGGAGTAGTGGAGAGGAGGGCAAAATATAAGCGAAATCTTGACTTCCCTATAAGTGAAACCCTGACTTCCTAGCAAGTGAAACCTTGACTTCCTATAAGTGAAACCTTGACTTCCTATAAGTGAAACCTTGACTTCCTATAAGTGAAACCTTGACTTCCTATAAGTGAACCTTGACTTCGGCAGTGAAACCTTGACTTCCTTAAGGAAACCTTGATCTCCGCTGAAGACCCTGACTCTATTAGCGAGACCTTGACTCCTATTAGCGAAACCTTAACTTCCTATAAGTGAAACCTTGACTCTATAAGTGAAACCTTGACTTCCTTATAAGCGAAACCCTGACTTCCTATGGTGAAACCTTGACTTCCTATAAGCGAAACCTGACTTCCTATTAGCGAAACCTTGACTTCCTATTAGCGAGACCTTGACTTCCTATAAGTGAAACCTTGACCTTCTAACGAAACCTTGACTTCCTATTAGCAAGACCTTGACTTCCTATTAGCAAGACCTTGACTTCCTATTAGCGAAACCTTGAACTCCTAACGAAACCTTGACTTCCTATTAGCAAGACCTTGACTTCCTATTAGCGAGACCTTGACTTCCTATTAGCGAAACCTTGACTTCCTATTAGCGAGACCTTGACTTCCTATAAGTGAAACCTTGACCTTCTAACGAAACCTTGACTTCCTATTAGCAAGACCTTGACTTCCTATTAGCAAGACCTTGACTTCCTATTAGCGAGACCTTGACTTCCTATTAGCGAAACCTTGAACTCCTAACGAAACCTTGACTTCCTATCGAAACCTTGACTTCCTATTAGCAAGACATTGACTTCCATGTAATAATAACTTCATTTTTACCTTTCTTATCTATATTTATTTACTTAATTTTAATCTATCTTTATTCTCTAATTCTCCTTTCTTGCTCTTAATCTTTCTTTCTTTGCTCTATATAACTCGTGAGAGAGAGGGGAGATGGCTGGTTTGTGGTCGAGGGAGGGGGAGGATTTGCCTGTGGCCACTCCCCCCACCAGAGGGTAACCGGTATGAGGGGAGAGGGAGAGAGGAGGATAACTAGGGGAACAGGGATAACATGCGATAACTGAGACACTTGGGGAAACAGGCAATAGGTGTGTTGTCACTCAGGGCTCAACGTATCACTGCATAACACCAAAGATATTTATGACAATGTTTTCACTCAATACCAAGATGGGGAAATATATAACGCTTCTTAACGGTTCTTTATTTATTGAACACTTATTATTAGGATTTGACAACTACACTTCAACACAATTGATCTATTCCCCTAGCTAGTTAAATGGGGACCACGTATCTCACAACAAATGTGAACTTAAGGATTTACCAAATAGAATACACCTAAATAATGCCACGTCGCCACCACAGACGTCCTACACCTCTCGACACAAAATTACAACTCAGACTCTGGGTTAGGGCACGAATTCAGCTTCCAGCCAATCAGCAGTTAGGCCTATGATGTCACACTCGCAGGCCACTGTAATTGGTTCACGCCTCAGGCTTCTCGGGCACTCCTGGTTAGCGGGAAACTCGTGTAGTGTGTTATGGCGGGTAATATTTGTCTAAGCTAAATTTTCCTGTATTTCCTCAAAAACATGATACAATCTACTTCAAAAACATAGTATTGTTCCGTCCTTTTAGCGAGACCTTCCCTCTGTATTCGCGAAACAATACAGGTACAGAATATAGATAAGGATGTATATGAAAAATGGAGATTTCAGCTCAGCATGTATGTAGACTATGCAGGGATACAGTTCACCAGGTATGTATATAATTCAGGTATGTAGTTCAGCAGAGAAAATGCAGGTATACAATTCAGCATATACGAATCGAGGCGATAATCTACTTACAGTATCTGCGGATGAGTGACACACACACACACACACACATACACACACACACACACACACACACACACACACACACACACACACACACACCTACCTTCTGTGTTTATGCATCGTGACAATCATCGTTATGCAATCTGATCTAAACATATATTCCCCCAATCTCTGGTCTCTACCCCCCACCCCTCATCTAATATGGAACACAATAATCATGTTGGTGGCTCGTCCGTCGACCTCCCTACATATTGCATACAACATATATCATCACATGTTATTCTGAGCGTTAATACGTCGTGCAGTGTGCAATATTCTTCAGCCTCGTTGCACAACATTGTATAAGCCTCATGCGTTCAACATTTCTCTCTCTCGTTTTCACAACATTTCCATCTCCTCTTTGGGGTTTTTTCCTTCTTTCTTTTTTAATAGTATTTGTTTGTGTTGAGTTGTTGTACCGCTGGTGGGGAAATACTATTGGTGTTTGGTTGTGTTTCACGGAGGTACCATTTGGGTCTAGACTGTCTCTACCTCTTGACCCCTGGTGGAGGGTTGTCTTATCCTCCTGTTCCTCTTATTTTCTAACTTTTCTTCTTCCTCTTTTTCATTTCTCCCTTTTCCTTATTCTTCCTCTCCTTCCTTCTCCTCCTCAACCTAAATTCTTTTCCTCTAGCCTCTTTCTTCGCCTACTTCTTCCTCTTCCATCCTACCTTATCGCTCCTCCCTTATCTTCTACCTGCCTCCTCCTCCTATCTCTCTCCCATATCTTTCTTCCTTCCTTCCTCTTCTCATTATCTCCCTCCCTCCTCTTCACACCCTCCTCATCCCCTCCCCTCCTCACTTTCTTTACCTTCCCTCTCTCTCACCCTCTCTTTCCCCCTAACCCTCTCCCACTCCCCCTTCCTCTCTCCCTCTCCTACCCTCTCACCCTCTCTTTCCCCTAATCCTCTCCCCACTCCCCCTCCTTCCCCTCTCCTACCTTCTCACCCTCTTCCCCTAACCCTCTCCCACTCCCTCCTCCTTCCCCCTCCTCCTACCTTTCTCACCCTCTTCCCCTAACCCTCTCTCCCTCTCCTCCTTCCCCTCCTACCTTCTCACCCTTCTCTTTCCCCTAACCCTCTCCCACTCCCCCTTCCTCTCTCCCCCTTCCTCTCTCCCTCTCTCTCCCCCTCTCTCTCCCTCTCCCAGCATAAGACTTTATCATTACCACTGGTACAAATCCCTGAAGTGAACGGAATCGAGGTTGAATTTACAACTTAAACTCGGGAGAGAAAGGAAGGGGAGTTGGTGGTGTCAGGGATGGGAGGTGGTGGTGTCAGGGAGGGGAGGTGGTGGTGTCAGGGAGGGGAGGTGGTGGTGGGAGGGGAGGTGGTGGTGTCAGGGAGGGGAGGTGGTGGTGTCAGGGAGGAAAGGTGGTGGTGTCAGGGAGGGAGGTAGTGGTGTCAGGGAGGGGAGGTGGTATTGATTTCGATATTGAAACAGTTTATTTAGCCAGAAAAACACAGATACAGAGTGGATAATAATAACAATATTAACATGGCTGATCTCTCGTTTAGGCACTTGATATATACTATACATTTATCTCAAGGAGGTATTATGTAACATTTAGTATCATCTGGAATAGTACACGTAACATGGTGTTAGTAAGAACATATTAGAACGTTACCACGGTTATCACTTCGTTATTTATTTAATTTTTTTTTTTGCATTTATATTATAAGTATACAGTATACATATTTTACAGTGGAGTTGATATACATTAACCTGATGAGGGAGGGAAGCAGTAGAACATGGGTTGTATTAAGGTGGAACAAGAGGTCGGTGCTGTCAGTATCATGTCATGTCGGCAAATATATAATTATTTGAATAGGAATTTCTATCTACGTGACAATTATAATATAATGGTTTTGGTGGAACAACGAAAGTAAGAAAATAAATTATGCATTCCAAAAAATATTTATACTTACACAATAGATATTTTTTAAGTTATGATTTAAGGGAAGGGAGCGTAGTCTTTGCTGGGATGGGTGGGGGTAAGTTGTTCCACACCTGCACACCATGATATTTTATGGAGGTCTGGGACTGAGAGGAGCGCATGG